TGGCGTCACTTGGGGCGAGAAGCCTTTCTTTCCCCGGTGCCAGCTCACAACGTGGCCTCGCTGCGGTACAGCGGCTGCGGGGGCTCACCGGGACGGGCGCCGGCACAGCGCCGGGCAGTGATGACCAACGTGCCGGTCTCGGTGAGGGCGCAGCTCACCGACAGCGGGTCCGTGTCCTCGGGCAGCTGGCACTTGTGGGTGAAGGTGTCGCAGACGGTGCCGTCCTCGGCCACCTGCAGGGAGGCAGCACTGGTGCGGTGGGGCACAGCACAGCATGGTACAATCCCAGTTACCCCAGTGCTAGTGATGGGGGAGCTCCCAGCAGCCCCAGCTCCAGCAGGGAGCTCAACAGGGTGGTTCCCAGTTACCCAGTGACTCAGGGGCAATTCCCAATTACCCCATTGCCAGCAGAGAGTGGCTCCCAGTTGCTTCATTTTTGGGGGTGGGGTAGTTTCCAGTTACCCAAGTTCTAGCAGTCGCTGTTCCCAGTTGCCCACCAGCAGAGAATGCAACGAGGCAGGAGTTTCCAGTTGCCCCATTCTCAGCGAGGACAGCTCCCAGTTACACCAGTGGTGGCAAGAGCCATTCCCAGTTACCCCAGAGCAGGAGAGGTGCAGTGGAGCAGAAGCTACTTGTTGTCCCATCACCAGGGGACAGCTCCCAGTTACTCCAGTGTCGGCAGGGGCCATTCCCAGTTCCCCCCCCTGCAGAAGGGGGGTACCGTGGGGCAGGACCCCCATTGCTCCATGCATGGGGGAAGGGGTTGGGGGGGGATATGCTGTCCCCCCGGGGTGCCTCACCTTCTCAGCCTGGATGGCGACGTGGCAGTTGGAGGTGGTCACCACGATGTCAGGGGGCTCAAACTGGCTGACGTCGGCCACCACCTGGTAGGTGTCACCCTGGGCACGCACCCAGGTGCCCAGGCTGCAGGGGCACATGGCGCCCGGGGACCCTGCGGGCATCGGGGGACTACTGGGCATGGGGGCATAGTGCCCAGTGACTGGTGCACTGGGGGCTGTGGGAGAGGCTGGTGACACTGGGGGGGG